TACAGACTGGCAATACAAATAACTGTGTCTATATTTCTCTCTTCAGAAGAGTGCAGAAATATGGTTCGCGCATGCTTGACATATACTATACATTGGACATGTTTTGCCAAAATTATCTCTTCCTACAATTTTATGAAATTTTATTTTATATACTTTTTTTAATTACCTGCATTTTATGTTTTAAAAAAAATTTATTTCGTGTTTTATTAGCAGGGACGGACTTCTGATTTTTTTTTAGGCGTGAAATATCTCATCCAAAACGAGGGGAAGGGAATAATTTCAAAATAACACAAATATTTTATCTCTTTTGTTGTATGTGCGACATACGTCCTCATATATACTCTAGCCAGATACTGTTTTTTGTTAAACTACTCAAAATTTTTTAAAATTTGTCAAAAATTAATTTTTTTTAAATACCCGGAATTCTGGATGTGGAATTCAATATTCACAGGAACTCTTGGTGTGAAAAGCTCCATATTTTCCACAAGGAAGTCTCTGTCTATTTTTGTCACAATACAGAGTAACAATTAAAAGTATGTTGTAAGGAAAACAAAAGAGATAAACATTTTTCTTCCTCCGTTTAGGTGATCGTTTTTCTGATTAGTATCAGGATTTAAGACTCGTCAATTTCATTTGAACCGTTGTACAAGCCAGTTTATGAGTATCAGCATGAACACATTAGCCGAAAGAAAGACATTCAAAATTTTATAAAATAAAAAAAAATTAAAAATATTATTAACGTAGGTGAATAGTGGTAACTTTATTATAAAATTTTTATACAAAACATATTTTAATATCTTGAATTATTTTGGAAATATAACAAAAGCAATTAAAAAAAAGTTACCTGTAAAAAAATTTCATCCCGTTTTTTCACTAGCTAATATTTTCTAAATTCATCTTACATAATATATATGTGTATACAAAATTTCATAAAATTTGAAACTTCGCAAGATATCTTTCGTATGTTCTTTTGCTTGATCCATATTTATTACAGATTCTGTGATACGCTTCTGTATAGTTTTTGCTGTATATCCTATACTGTAGAAGCACTCCATGAGAAATACTTTCCTTTCGATGGTTAATGCGTTCATGCTGATACTTGTAAACTGGTTTATACAATAACTCGAGTAAAATTTTAATGATCACCATGTATATTATTTTTAATTTTGATATAATTTTAATATGCTTAACTGACATGTGCAACATATTATACATTTCCAGTATACTTTGAAAAAGAGAAATAGCTAAAAAGTATGTTTTTTTTTCTCTCTCTAATAATAGAAACTATAGTATATTGCCAGTCTCTATCTAAGGTTAGATGAAATATTAATGGATTTCAATTCTCTTAGTCGTCAAAGGAATTCGCCTCGTAACTGTATTGTTTATGTTTCACGATCATGAATAACGTGACGCTTATCCCATAATAACTGTGTAATATACAATATTGCTTGATTTATTTTTATTTACGTACCTATGTGAATATTAAAATGTATTAATTAAACATAGAGATTAATATTCTTAATACGATTAATTCAATGCTGGCTTTATTTGCATCACAAATTGATTAAATCCCACAAATTTTGAAACATAACATAATCGCTATTTAATAATACCAAAATTTATTTTATTTTTAATATAATTTTTAAGAGTTACGTTAATATGTCTGTTTAACATTTATTTTAACTTAATTATTTATCGATAATGAGAGTGATAACGAAATAAATATTTAAAGTACACTTTACATATTGCTAAATTTTTTATTAGGTAGAATATAATTTAAAAAATAAATAGTGAAATTTGTAAAATAATAATAATAATAATAATAATAATAATAATATCATATTAGGTGTTGGAATTAATTCGTAGCGTTTTTTACCTAATATATATTTTAATTGTAAAATATTAAATGACGAATTGTAATGTTAATTATTGCATGAACTATATAAAGAAAATAAATCAAGGCTTTTATTCAAAAATAGAGAAATTTTGCACCGTAAGATTTATGAATTAATTCATTAACGTTGCCGGATTTCTTGTTCCAACTCGCCGAATAAGAAAACTATAGATAGTCGTCTTTTCCAAAGGCAACGATACTTTGAAATGGCAAAAAGCACAGTGAGTTGAGTGATGCGACTTAGCGAAACGACGACGTAAGGGTGGCAAGCAGGGGTTGTAATGGAATATGTTTTGCTACTAGAGAGAAGAAAGAGAGTTCGCTCTGGAAATGTCTGTGCTCTTAATGTCCAGAACACATAGCGGTCTTTTGTTTTTACAGAAAATATATCAGATTGTATGAACTTCTAAAGGAAAAGCTATGGCGGAATATAACAATAACTGTAACAATGAGAATAATAATAATGATGGCACGAAACCGAATAAGAAAGATAAAGGCTCGTGTTATCCGGATAATCATATCCTTTGTGAATAAATAAAAGAAATGTCCCGGCGACATGCGTGGCATGTGCGCGGCTCGCGTTTGCTGTAAACAGTATATATTGTACTTTTTATAATTAAGTCGCGTCAATCTTATATATACAATCTTTATATTCATATTAGGATTTGAGACAAATAATAAGAAAAATATCTAAATAAACTTTATTATTCAAAGGCGAAGCATTTGAAAAGGATGTACATAAAACGTTGTAAAATCTTGCGGTCTTCGTTACAAGTGAAAAGTATATCAGAAACCTGTGATATAAAGAGGCTCAGCGTGACGGATATATTCCCTCGGCCGTTAACTCTGACCATAAGGATGTTTTGAGAGGAAACACCTCCAATCGGTTTCTTTAATCCCGGCTATATATTACTCCCGTCAGGTTGGTGGAACCAAAGTGGATTGCAAGTATCTCGACGTACTTTCTCCCAGTCCATTTATAATTGTAATCGGGGATCGGGGAAAAAATTCCCGCATCGTAAATTCTTAATGCACGTTTGGATGCTGTCCATTCGTTATATTCATCAAATATTAATCAATCGGTTATGTTATTTATATACGAATCACGATAATGCTCACAACTAGAACGCTATCGACTTATTCTTCAACTGATCTACGAGGATCATTCAATACGCTTCCAATTTCAAGCTTGGCCGATGTAATATGTATGCATCAGAAAATACCAAGATACGAAAAAGATATACACGATGCCACAATCGATGAAAATTTAATATGTATGATTGCTACGAACGGAAAGTTATTTAGATAGGATTTATTAATATTTTGCCATACACAGAGAAAATATATGTATTCTTTTCTTGCTAAGAATTGACATCCGCCTCGACGTGCTTCTCATCCAAATCGAAACATTTCAACTCGAATTGTTTCTCATCTATAATACAATATATCCGGAATGAGAATGTGCGCGTAATAAGTTCTAGTTTTCGTGCAAAATTTCATTTGTTTTTTTTCGGAATTCACTAAATAATTTGTGGAAAAATTCAATGAACTTCTTACGTAACATTTCGTAGAACAAAAATTTTCTTAAATACAAAATTAACGGCTGAATTCTTTTTTGCCAATGTGTTTTAACACGAATGTGTTTTCAAATCTTTTTTCAAGAATTGTAACGTTCGTTGCATTATATACCGCGTATATAGATAGTATATGTTGTATATAACACTGATGAAAGTAAATAACCACGGAGTGCGAAGATGGAGAACGTAATGCAATCTTACCTCATTCGTCCCCGCTTAACTATACTCTCATTTAGATAAGCCCGATATTTTGACGTGCAAAAACTTGCGCGGCTAATCTTGGCGCTTCTTATCTCGAGAGTTCACACGGAGGCTGCAGAATAGTGGATATTCATCCTTAAGATTTGAAATACATCCGCGAATTCGTGCTAGTCTTCACTATGCTTAAGATAGGCAACTATAGCTAAAATAACCAACTTTATATGCAGTGTTGAAACATATCTAGATACACAAGTACAATTACCTAAATTGAGATCTCCGTACTTAGGTAGTACTAGGTATGGTATGCAATTCCACCAAAGTAGTTAAATACCTAGGTATTATACTTCCAAAAGTAAATTAAGTTTAATCGCTAAAGATATCTAATTATCTAGATATTTCCAAATAAGTATCTAAGTTAGATACTCTAGTAGAAATTACATATCGTACTTATAGTACTAAATAGTTAGAAAGATCTCAATTTAAATACTTGTATCTATATAACTATAGGTATGTTCCAACATTTTATATGTTGTTATGGGCTATCAATGTTAGCAATATTACATATTCAACTAATCAATGTCAAATGTATTTTGACTTTAATCATGATGTACTGAAATAATTGATATAATGATTTCAATAATGATATCATAAGTAAATGTATTCTGAGATTGTGATATGTGTGTGTTTTATGTGTAATATGTCTAAAGCGACTCCTAGTATTGTACTATTGTACAATATTATTAATCATCTGGAGGCTATATTGAGCTCTAGATTGTTTCGAATTGTTTAAGGGGATCCTAAAGTCGTCTGTTTTATCGAACGCAATAATTTTTATATCATTTTTTTGTATGTATAATATTATTTTAATAGGTGTGAAAAAATCCTCTAGAATTAAAATATAGATAATAACCCTGATTGCATATGATTTTATAAACAAAAATTAGAAAATTAATCTTGCGACTTCTGACATCAATTTGTAACAATATATACTTCGTATAAAAGTTTTATACTTCATATGTACAAAGCTTTACTCGGATCACACAAAAAATAATATTATACTTTTTCAGAAATAAACCTAAAAACTTGAGTATAAGAGAAAAGATTGTGTGAAAATTGTTACAACATTGATGTAATATGTAGCAATCTGTCGATATTTCGTACGTATGTGTTTTAAAGTCTATGTGTATAGGTCAGTACAACACAATGCTATCAAAGTTCGTTCTTCAATCTAGGATTCCATTAAAGAGAGTATCAATAATATTGTACAAATAATATGAATGTTTAAGAGTCGCTTAAATGCAACAAAAGAATTGGTTATGATAACTTACCACGTCGATGATTTGCTGCAGAGTGATGCCAAACTTCACCTCCAGTGGTTCGCTCTCATTCGCGACCGGTCGCTCCAAGGTGTTGTAATTTGCCAGCAGATGATTCAGTAAGCGTTTCTCGTGGCGCCCGCAAAGGCTTTCTGCGATAAAGAACGAGAAAAATCGAATGTCAGTCAAGCTTCGTATGTTATTCCGGAGGGTAAGCCGCAAATAATCACGACCCTTATCAAAGCGTATTTACGAACAGATACGAGAGAAAAGATTCTCACTTCGCCAACAATAGTCTTTTTCTGTCGCAAAAGGTATATGATAGAAGGCAATTTAATTATTTCTGTTACATGAGCAGAATAAACAATTCTGGGAACGTTTTCCTAGTCGCTGCTTTTTTGTTCTCAAATATTCAGCAATTCGTCAAAAAGCAATTATTTACGCAGATTTTAATACTGATAAAAGCTGCATGCAGTTTTTCTCTCATCGATTTCAACAAACATATTAGGATCGCAATCAATAATTGATAACATTCTATATATTAAATTTAATCAAATTAAAACACAAATCTATTTTAACTATATATAGAATTATATCATTCTCTTTCAGATATAAATTCTTTAAAAAATTATTATATATTTTTTGTTAAATTTAAAAACTTATTACGCTAAATAACTAAGATAAAATAATTAAATATATAAAGGACTTATATAATATATAATTAAAATTGTCGAAGAGAAATTCATAAATAAAAATGAAAGGTTGCAGCATAACATCATTTTTCGAGTAAAATATTTTACTTGTCGAAAGTGATTCAATAAATAAATGAACCTATAGTTTGTTCTTAAATCCCTTGTAAATATTAATGTCTCGCTAGTGATCTTCACTAACTGGGGTGAACGAATTAATGCACGTCGACGATTATAAAGTTCGCTAGTTTCCAACTTGCACGAGCATCGATGGAGAGCTCCGAATCCGTCAGGGACCGAGCTCTGGTCCACTTTCCCGTTCAATTCCGGTCTATCCGCGGCCGAACGACAGCGCGAGCAAACTACTTTAATCCTTCGACAAACACGTCGCGAATGCATTCCGTTCCCGGCCAGGATCTGGGCCGGGATCCAGATTGTATTCGAGCACGTGCCACTGCGGGATCAAGTTTGGGCTCCAGCGCGGTGTGTGCCGACGCCAGAATACGAGATGCAACAGGACTGCGTCCACCGGGAGAATAATGGTCGTCGGCCCCGCGGCTGAATTCGGCGCACGTGCGCCCATTCAAGACAAGGGTTGAAGTATCGTGAGGTCGCGACAAATATACTGTGCGCCATGAAACGTTTATTGCCGCGCGGAACACGGTCTATCGCCTGATACAAATATTTCGCGATTGCATTCCAACTTCCCCTCCCTTGCTTCGTCTTCCCTTTAGTTATATTAATATTCCAAGTTCGAGCGGAGTATCAGGGTATCTTAGAAGGTCTGAACTTCCTCGCAAAATTCATCGCTTCATCATGTTACAAATTCTATTGGTCGATAATCACGTACCTATAGTTCATGTAACTTGATTCGCCTGAAACTCGGGGTCGTTCAGATTGACAAGGGAACATTATAAGCATAATACAATACGGTATATTTTGTTTGGATAGAATTAATGTCTCACGACGTGTAATGATTAATTTGATATTGAAACGGTTACTCCGTATACAATTGAATCTCTTTAAATAAAGTGCACAATGAAGTGCACTGAGTTTTCAAGCAACATACTACATTTTTAATAAACGTAGATTTGTTAGAGTACGAATTCATATCAAAAGTCTGATTTCTGTTTGAGACTTCTTTCCCTTAAAATAAATCTATTTTGTTCCTCAAATAAAGATTAAAGAGAAGATATTGTCAACAGCCGACCAAATTCTATGACTTGGAAAAATCATAGATGAGACTAGGATTCTTTGGAATAAATGGAGAGAATTTTCTTACAATTTCGGCATTAAACTTTTTAAACTAATTATTTTTTAAAACTATTATGATTAAAATGTACTAAAATGGTAGAGAGAACCATTTTCTATGTTTTCATGTCGGAAACGGTTCTGTATAGTTTTTTTGTAGTAAGCGAAATACGAACATGCTACATTGTAGCTAACTTACTCCCATAGTGAAACAAATATCATGATGTAAGTTGTTTACACATAAATTCTATTATACATTAAATTAATAAAATCGTAATAAAAATAAGAAATAGGTCGCAGATATGTACTTCTTGGTAAAAATTGTATCTTTAAAGTTACTTTATAATAATTAAATAACAAAATGTTGTAACAGAAAAACAAATATAAACTGTTTTAGTTATATCCTATTACTAATATAGAAATATTAAATACAGATTATATAGAAACATAAAATAAAATTAAATAGAAGTATTAAATATATATTTCGTCAGAGTTAAGTGTTGTAACAAAATATATAAGTTAACGTATTCCCTCTATATATATTAATGTCTGATTTCAATCATTTTATGATAATAAGTTACCGTTCTTATTCAAAATACATGTCGCAGAAATACATTGTAACAGAAACTTTTCTTTTAACTATAAATATGTCACGTAGATTTAGGGTCATAGAATACAAAAAACTTAAGCAGTGAAACGTAAGCAGTATGAATTGATTAATCACAGTAGAGACCGTAAGGCCATAATGTAAGCAGTAACAAATCCAATATGTTGATCTTCTTTCACTGCTTACTTTTTATAGTTTATATTTTTGCGTGTGCCATGATTTTTATTCTCTCAAGCTGAAGAATATTAATATGAGATTATTCAAAAATTTACTTGCTTCTTTTGAATAAAATTTTTCTCTTTTTTTCGTTGCAATACTTGTTTGATTTAAATGAATCTTAGGAAAAAGTACATTATAAAAGAGATATTTTGCGATAATTTTTCCATTGCTTTTTTCGTCATAAATACATAAACGAAATGTCAATTTATTTCTTGTACAATAAGTCTCAATTTCCCTTATATCTTTTCGATATAGAAATTGAAATAATCTCTATTTCAATTAGAACGATAGCCGCATTATTCAAACATATGTAATTACTTACGTCTATTCTCTCCTTCTTATATCTATGGGTCAATTATTTTCAAACCCACCTCTCGTGGAGCATTTCTGAATCACAAAAATGAAATTAATTCATTCGTTAATCAGATTAGTCAAATGTATTACGCATATATCGATCGGACGTTAATTTCTAGTTTATACACTACGGGAATTCGTGTGGCGTTGATTAATCACCTTTGTAACGCCCAACGTAGAACGCATGCCACACATTTGACTACGTGTGCTGTGTAAACATGCCGAATTATTAGGACTGCAATTAATTATGCGGTAAAAAGTAATTTATCGTTGCATTCCCAGTGGCCAAGTCCAATGAATGATTTATCGAACATTCGCTTGGAGAACAGAAAAATTAACAAAAAAATGCCGTTTAATTAGCCGCTTTGATGGTAACGAGCGCAAATTCACAATCAAAAAACGCCATCGCGTAGAATATGAAAAAAAAGTCGGCAATGCGTTATCGGCCAATTTTCGCTTCGAAAGGCAGCGCGCCGTATCAGGGATATTAATGAATTGAAAAAAATCGATAGTACTGCTAAAGGATAAGCGTGAATCCCTTTTAGCGATCCCTCGTACGGAAGTAATACGGTTCGAGACTTGTCTTGAACTTCTTGAATGAGCAATGGCGAAACGGAGCAGCAATAAGCAACTTCGCCGAATCGTGCAATGGCCATTTAGCCGAGTGTTGAAAGACGGTGGCAGTAATTAATGAGGCATACATAAAACCGAAGGGGAACTTAGGGAAAACTAAGTGGGCACGTGCGTTGTAACTCCCGTGTATCAAGAGAACTTGTGTTAATGAATCTCCTAAGGAAGAAGAAGCAACACTACACTAGAACTGTAGAGAATATCTTCTAATTATTACACACTAATTATATATTTGCTCTAATAGATAGAAGATAAGTAATTTAAATATCATCATTGAAGTCTAATGTAAAGAACTATATACATTTCGTAAAAAGAATTTTTAAATCTAGTCAAAGACATTAAAAAATTATTAATCCAGCCAACTGAAAACAGTATAATGATGAATTAATCTTTCTTTTTACTTATTTTGTTACGCTTAGAAAGGATAAATTGTAAATAATGATTTGCTTACGAAATGCTGCATGTGCTATTTCATTTATTGCCATACTTTGTCTACACATACAAGCTTATACAGCATCTTTTAGCCTTCTATGTTTATATTTTAACTGCCTAACATTCACATTTACTGCTGCATCATTCAGCATTTGCATAACTTAAGTCGTATATATCTCAAGTGTGCTCCGTGATGAGTGTAACTCTCGTCATTTTGAATGATAATTCCGCAATTTCTTAACGTATTTTCTCGTTACTTCCGATAAAGCTTTATAATTCATAATAGTTTATTCGATGGGCTTTTAGCATACGAATTAAACTGTTACAACGGTCAAATTGTTAACAAACAAGCATATATTGAGAGCAACCAGAGAGTATGAGGTGCATGAATTTATGAATTCTATAAACAGGATTATCTCATGTTAATAAATTCCTGAAAATCAACATTAATCTGGGAAAAGGCATAGGAAACACGCTTCGCAAATGCCATGAATAGAATCAATCTCGCCATCATTTCATTTCCGAAACTAGCAAAAGCGGATTAACGAAGAGTTTCTCAACGAGAAGTAAATGTAAAAATTATAAATTAAATGAGATAAAATATATAATCGTTGCTTCACGGATAATATTTTTCTAAATTTATGTGTAAATTAAGTTGGAGTGTTTCATCTTTTTCTATCACATATGAATAAATAAACTCACGTACATATGGCTTTGTACTGGTATGAATAGAGACTTTGTATTTAAATCAGTAATCTTTCTAATCTTATTATTACAAATTAATAGAATTTATACATAAATCAAATAAAATAAATTTAACATAAATAAGAAAAAAGAAATTTTACTAAAAGCGCAGAATAAAATACAATTAATACAAAGTAAAATACAATTATTTTGCTTAGCAGTTGGTATGATATCTCTCTTAAATTAAAGAAAGAAGAAAAGAAAATAAAAAAAGAATGAAGATAAT